ACGTGCGACTTCAGCCCCAAAATAATGAAGCGATCCTCGCCGCTCTCGGGGCCAGAATCATGGAGCAGAATCGTCTCCTGAGAATAGGTGGTGTCACAAGAACATTGCCCGCGCAGGCGCTCGCGCACCAAAAAGCAAATGGGCCCTGACGCCGACCCCCCCCCCCCCACACGTGAACGGGCGCACTGCAAAACAAACGCAGCCCTAAAACAACAATAACCACCGCATGCGAATTCACAACGATGGACAATGAGATGGACATGGAGCACATCCCTCAGCAGTTGGGCCCCATACAGCCGGCGACTGCAAAATCAACCGTAAGCTAAAACACAGGTGCGCGCAGTGCATCATCATGATAGTGCCACGAAGGACAATGGGGGGGGCTCGCGGTGCCCAATGCCCCAGCCGCCCATGGAGCAGCCATCCCAAGGGAAAAAACCTAGGGGCAACATGATTACCGGCGCCCTGGGCCCATGCCCCCCCCCCAAAAAAAAACATCCCCCCCGCAGTCGACACGCATGCAAAGAATTCCTGAACGCTCAGGGAGCAACCGGTCCTTGTCGAACTGCAAAACCCTGTCCGGCAAGACCAGCTTGGAGAGGGAGGAGTAATCGGGCTTCTCCACGTCTTCTCCAGCCTTGAAGCGTTTCTCCCGGTCAGAGTGCCTCGCGTTCCAGGCGGCCTTCGGGAGAGCCGCCAGCCCCTTCCCCGCCGCATCCCGCCCCCGTTCAACGCCGCACCGTCTCGTTCCAGGCGGCCTGAAGATCCCACCGCTGCAGCCCCCCCGCCGCGCCGTGCCCCCACCAAAAAACGCCCACACTGCCCTTCAAACACCAGCCCCCCCCCCAAAAAAAAAACACACACACAAATAAACGCCACAACATATCATTATTTTCATCACGAAAACATGTCATTCGGCACCGCCGCGCCCTCTTGAGAGCCAGGGTCGCCACGTTCGCGTCCGGCGCCCCCAGACAATCGGCCACGACCCGCGTGGCGGGCGTGAATTTCTGCTCCACGGCTTCTGCTTTCACTTGTTGGAAAAGCTTGATGCGAGCCACCTGGGCGACTCTGACAATGCTTGCGCGACACATGCACATGTGTAATATATATATATATATATATATATATATATATATATATATGTACTGCACAATTTTAGAACGCATGGCCAACAATACGTACACGCACGGACCCCCACCCTGAGGTCGTATCACCTCCGAACCCCCAGCCCAGAGACACTCATCATTTCTCCGACCAGTGCCGTCACTTAGGCATTCCTATTTATTCCCTGAGAAACTGAGCCTCTGTGGCGATCTGGCTGCAATGTTCCCGCCGTCACCGACCTGTCGCCGCTTCCCAGCCGCCTCGTCTCCGCCCGTCGCCTGGGCCGCTTGACATGTAGCACATAGATTGCACCGATCAATATACAATATACACCACATTGATTGCATCGCACGGATGGCGCAACGGGTAACCCTTTGGTCCAGACCTCCCGCCTCGAAGCTGTGAACAAGAACCCTTTGGTCCAGACCTCCCACTAAAGGGCTCTAACTGGTAACCCTTTGGTCCAGACCTCCCGCCAGCAAGCTTGAACTGGTAACCATTTGGTGCACGCCTCCCACCTGAAGGCTCCGACTGGTCACTCTTTGGTCTAGGGCTCCCCCCCCGAAGTGTTCGAATGGCTCTTTGGTCCAGACCTCCCGCCTGAAAGCTCAGACCAGTCACAATTTGGTCCAGACCTCCCACTTCAAAACTGCAACTCGTAACCCTCTGGTGCAGACCCCTCGCCTGCAAGCTCTAATTGGTAACCCTTTGGTCCAGCACTTCCTTCTGAAGACTCCGAGTGGCAACTCTTTCTTAACTCTTTGGTCCACACCTTCCGCCCGAAGGCTCCGAATGGTAACTCTTTGGTCCAGACCTCCCGCCTCGAGGCTCTGGCCGGTAACGTTTTGGTCCAGACCTCCCACTTCAGACGTCTAGTTGGTAACCCTTTGGTCCAGACCTCCCGCCTGCAGACTATACCTGGTAACCCTTTGGTCTAACCCCCTCTGCCTGGAGTGTCTAATTGCCATGCCCTGTTCCAAACCTCTCGCTGACAGGATCCCAATGGCAACCCTTCAGTCCAAACCTCCCACCTGAAAGCTCTGAGCGGAAACATTTTGGTCCACAGACCCCCCCTTCACGGAGTAAAGCAACGGAATTGAAATATGAACGACCACATCTAACGAGATGATATCCTCCAGGTGCCCTGGCAAAAAAAACGACTCCTGGCGACGCACTTTGCACAGGTAGAGTGTCCGTGGAAACCTCCGGTCCTAAATACTTAACCGAATGCCGCGGGCCAATCCCCACCTGGGCAAGTACAGTCAAAACACCAGTCACTTGGAAAATCCATCCACCCGGTCCGGATTCGGCAGGTGGTTGTGCTCCGGCGTGGGAGCGCCATCCACGCCGAGGACGCCGTCGACGGAGGAGGTCTTCACCCTGGCTTTACATTTGTCCTCCGCGATTGTCCAACACACTTGATGCCCTCCCCTTGCCCCCCCTAGCCGGGGAACGCCCCTTGGGCCTCTCCGTGGCACCCCCCTTGGGCCCTTAGCTTGTGGCCCCCCGTCGAAACCGTGAAACGGTCCGTGCACACACAAACAACGGGGCATAAAGAAAATGCGTGGGAATGCACCCAAATCCGCCACTACATCCGCAGAGCTCTGGGCGCGTGAGGCCGTGTCCACTTGTTCTGCGGCATCGCCCCTTGCGAAAAAATGCCCAAGGTACCCCGGGGCATTTGAAAGAACGAGAAATCATTTAAAAGCACGCGGTCCACCGTGACCAGCGTGCCTACACTATGAAACACAATGACTTCATCTACAGTGCCGCTTGCGATAGCGCGGCGCCCCCCATCTGCACACCAGAGCCCCCGACCCGCCCCGCACCAACGAAACCGCCTTGCCCGGGGGCCTGCCTCACGGGGCGCCGGATCCGCGCGGCAGCGTGACAACGAGTACGAATGGAAGATGACGCAGCTGCGTGACCTACGCTGTCCTTCTCGTGGCGGTCGCACAACCACGACGACTTACCACCCTTCAGAGTCTTCTTGAAGTAATATGCATAACCTTTTGTGGAAATGATGCAATAAAACGACGACTAGCAAAGGAGACGAGGTCGACGACTGGCAAGGGCAAGCAGGGCGCAAGCACAGGAGGAGATGCATCGCAAAAAGGTCGCATCGGAGAGGAACGCATACAGAAAGCAGGTGCGGAGGAGAGCAATGAGAGGGATTAGCAACGCAGAGAGAGAAGGAGAAGGAGCAGGAGCTGGAGGACGATGATAAGAAACATACTGATGAATACGAGGAGGAGGGGGAGGAGGACGGAAGGGAATCGACGCCACGACCTCCACAGAGCAGCATATTGTTGCCACGCTGGGACTTCACGATCTCCGGCGCGGGCGAAGCCCCTGGCAAAACCGCGGGCGGTGCCTGCGCGGGGGCAGCCCCTGCCACCGGAGGCTGTCCGGCCGCGCCCGGGCCGACGGCGCCCCCTCCGGACGAAGCCCCTGGCAAAGGCGCGGGCGGTGCCTGCGCGGGGGCAGCCCCAGCCACCTGACGCTGTCTGGCCGCGCCCGGGCCGACGGCGCCCCCGCCACCACGAAGCCGGGCACCACGTGCCCTCGCCACTGGAGCGGGCGCTGCTGGACACGCGGCGAGATCTCCCCCCTGCCCTGCCGGAGGCATGAACGGTGGCGCCGCGACTGCTGCCGCCGCTACGGGCGGAGCAGCCCCTTGCGGCGCCTCCGGCGCAAGCAACGGAGCAGGCGCCGAATCGTCGTCGAGGTCCATCTCCACGCGCTGAACCCCCTGCCCGAAAGCACCCGCGGGCCATGTCCCACGCTGGAGCGGCGCGCGAGCCAATGGGACGCCCGCCATGCCGACGCGGATGTGGGCACGATCTCCGGGGAACCACGCCGCCGGCAGCCCTGCACTGAGGCCGGAGAAGAAAGGGCAGCCAGACAGAACCGCTAACGAGGGAACTGGCGAATACAAGCATGCGCCATGCGGATGAAGATGCACTAGCACCACGTACATCATCAGAGTGAGGGGGGCGAACGGTCATTCACTGCCCCTGGGTGCGTGCCTGAAGTGGGATTCTGCGGTCCGGATTGTTCTTGTTGTTTATGTTGTCGCGTTTCCCCCCCGACCCACCCCGCGACCCACCGCGAGACCCACCCTCGACCCACCTGCGGCCCGCCATCGACCCGCCCCGCGACCCGCCTGCGACCCACCCCCGCCCCGACCGCGACCCACGCGCCGCGACCCACCCCGCGCCAGCCCCCTCACTCTGACCCAGAATTGGTGTGCACGCGTGGCCATTTGTATTTGCGCGTGTGCGTGGATGTCTGCATCAAGGTGCCCTGCGTGTGTATGTTGTCGGTATGCATGCGCGTGCGTTCCACGCAAAACTGTTACCAACCAGACTCCTATGAGTATGTGTTGCCACGTGGGCAGCAGGGGGACGAGCGAGGGAGTGAGCTAGTCAGACTGAGAGACGCACAACGAGAGGGATAGAGCAAGAGAGAGAGAGAGAGAGAAAGAGAGGGAGGTGCATAACGAGGCTCTCGCGGTATAGCATAACGAGCTGAACGGGCAATGATAAAACCACAGAACTACATCGGGTGAGTAGTAGCGGAAGGCAGGAGCGAATGCAGACTTGACGATTGGACAGCGCGCCGCCAAAAGTCCACGCGAAAAGCAAAGAGTTGGGTCCCAATGAAACGGTTCCGACCAAATTATGGACGAGCTGCGGTCAGCGGCCGCCCTTGCCGCATCGTTGCCTAGCGTGCTCTAGGGAGGTGCCCAGCCCTAATGATCATGCCCGCCACCTCCCACCACTGGCTCCCTGACCACTGTGATCAGCGGCCAAGGCTTGCGCAAGCGCTCGGCGTGCAAGGCAGTGCTAAAAGGCGCGCCGCCTGGGGTGCACATGCAAAACAAAAAGAAATCATAAATTGCCGAAGCGCTTCTCTGCAAGCGCGTCCCCCATGCAATGCGCAAGAGGGTCATCAAGCCAGACGCCGCGGACTGGGCCTGGCTGGACAAACCCGGCCACGAGGTGCACTGACCCCGCACGCAGCATCTCCCCGAAGATATCGTGGAAGTCCTGCAAGAGTGCGCAGGCGACAAAGGAAATGAGGCATCGAGAGGAAGACGAACCAGACAGCACACCGAACATGAGGCCAAGGAGGAGAAGCAGGGCTAAGAGATCAGACGAAGGAAACGTCGACGATGGGGGGGAGTCGGCAAAGCCTGGAACTACACGCCAGGAGCCTTAGAGGGAAGAGACGAGGGTGAGATGACAAGTGAATGACAGAGGAATGCATGAGAAAGATGCCGAAACCGAGGGGGAGCCAAACACAAACTGCAGAAAGAGTGAGCATGGCATCCTGCGCCGTCCAATGCCAGCAGTGGCCCAAGAAAGTCTGCACGGCGTCGAGGGGCACCCTGGGACGGTCCACGGAACCAAGGAAACGGAGCATCTTGACGAGGTCGTGCCCGGACGGCTCCAATGACAAAGGTCGGGGAAACAGCGACTGGGGCACCTCGGAGTGGCCCAATCAGAAAGAGGCCCATCAGTGGGGCGCGAATTTCCTGCAAATCCAAAATGGGAGCTGCCTCTAGCAGGCCCCATGAGGCCAACGAGGCACAATCCCTAAGCCTGGAAGCCAAACAACATCGAGGCAAACGAAAGGATGCCCCTGCGATCCCACCGTGTTTCCGAGGGGAGAGAACAAAGCGAACGCGACATAGAAAATGCCCCGGCAAGGATACTCAAAATGCCCCCCTGGATGCTCCGAACATTCCCAAGGGCCCTGAAAACGAAATTGTTCAAAGCAGATGTTCCTAAAATAATCCTCCGTCTCCCTTGGCTCGTTGTCCCCGCTGGATGAAAGCAGGGACCTGAACAGGCACTCCATAATCCGCCACCCAAGTGAGCTGGCCGTTCGCCGTGAGAGCCTCCCTCAAGTGCACGACGTCTGGTGCCGCAAGGTGGATAGCTGACGCCGCGGATGCCACCGAGCCCCACAGGGAGCCAGCCTCGCGCGCGGTCCGGAGCAACTCGGCCAGGAAAGCAACGGAGGTGTCCTCGCCAGATGAAGACGTGGCAAGAGCCTGCTGATGGAGGTCCGGTTGAGCCGCTTCTCCAAACTGCCGTGTCGCAGCCTGCGCTGCGCCATGCATGTGATCCCCTGCGCGCCCAACGGGATGGACTGACCCAAAAGTCACCGGCGGCATCGCGCCTGGGCGACCAGAAGGGCGGGGGTTGGAAGCAGCACAACGACTTGCAATCGGGAAGCAGAAGAACTGAGCGAAACCAACACAACGACGGAAAGGGAGAGAGGGAGAGATGAGCATAAAACAAGGGAAGTGCAAGGTCAGGTGGTAAGAAGGAAGCAGCGAAACAGCATATTGGCGGTCAATGGCGCCATCGACAACGGAACGCCATGACAGGCAAACCCGCAGCCTGAATGCAGGCACGCGCTGGAACCCGAAGTGGACGTGCCATTCGGCCGAGCGCCATGAACTCCAAGTTCCGAAACCGCAATGGCGGCACCTGCTGGGACACGCAACGCGCAAGCAAAGTCGCACATGCACTTGGTGGCCCACGCTGGCGCATGCGCTGGTCACGGAAATGCGCACAGCTGATAGCTTACCGCGACCACGGGGATGAGCGGCTAACTCGGGAAGGGCATGTGGGGACATGAAGACGAATGCAAAACTGAAGGAACTGAAAACATCCGCGACGAATTCCCCAAGAAACCCGCTCGCGAATGCAGAAAGATGCTATTCCAACCTGGGCCGAGAGACAACATGAAAGCGAAATGGCCGGAGCACCTGGGCATGCGCCGCCCTCCAACCAGGACCCCAAATTAGAAGCCATCACAGCATCCTCATGCTGTCGCGCCCACCAGAGTTCTTGCCGATGCTCCATATCTTCACGGTAACCCTTCACTGCGTCATCAATAAGCTGCTCCCAGCGCGCCGCGAGGCCATCATGCCCCAGCCTGCAAAGCTCGGACGCCTCCAGACGAGACCTCTTCACCAAAGCTCTCCAGGTGGCGCCTCGGATCGCCCTTGAAAGATACTCCGCCAACCCCGGAGAGCCACGGGCGTAATGGAAAGTAACTTAAGGACGTTGCGCACAATGGAACATCACAAACCCACGGACCGGGACCCCATCCGAAATAAAACCAAACAACTGAACCATGGCTCGGGCTGTGGCTCGTGCGGCCTGCAATGCGCATGAGAGTAATGAAATCAGAAACAGGAGTCCACCGTGGCGCAGCTCTTGGCGCGTGCCGGACAAAGGAAGCTCGAAAAAATAGTAGCGGCATTGTCGTGAAGACAACCACCCAGGCAGCACAGAGACAAGGGATTCCCTGGGGCCAAGAGAACATCTAAATCCAGGGCGGCGGACACGCGCAACGCACCTGAATCTCTGGCGCCAGCTGGGAGGAGATCCTTGCATTCAGCCACCATCCTGCCCCGTGGCTTGCGATCTGGAAGCCGCAGGTAGGGAAGGCGCTGCGTGAGCGGGAGCTTCTCCTCCCGGGCAGGCAAGCGCGCCACATCGCGAAAGGGCACCTGTGGCACCGGGCGGACCCCCATGAGTGATCGCCGTGCGAATCTCTTCTCACCTGTCCCGGACGTCTCCGTTGACAAAGATCCCTGGGACAGAATCCAAATTTCAGGATGGAACACCGTTTTCACACATTTTTGACGGGAAGACCTGGCCGCGCGGATTGGGGCACGCGTTCTCCATGGCCCCGCGCCGCAGTCTGGCCCGCCCTCGGACCAGGCGCCACGGCGACCGCCATGGACGCGCAGCTGCAGCAGAGTATAAAAAAAGGAGGCAGAGGAAGAGGAGGAGGAAGAGAAGATAAAGCAGAAGAAGGAGGACGTGAAGAGGAAGCAAAGAGTAGGGGCAAAACGATGAACATATCGGAGGGAGTGCGAGAGCAGCTCAGGCAAAAGAGCCCAGAGGGGGTCGCAGGAGGTTAAATACGTGGGAGGAGAAGTTTGCCTACCGATGACAACGGTGCGGTTGAGAAGTCTGAATTGGACAGCCTCTCGGTCATAGACTTTTGACCACCTGCGATTGCAATGGTTTGGATGCAATTTTCTATGTGCGACCACCCGCTTTCCCGTAGTTCTTGGCAGCCGTTCGTTCAACGGTTGACCTGACCCGTGGATACTACAATATTATGTTCTGTGGGGATTGGTACGTACGTGATCTTATGGCGCAGCCGAGCGTCCCACAGAACCGCCGACCACCTCGTGAGCGTGAGCATGGTATGACCCCCTCTTAGGAAAAGCTGGTTCGTCCTCCTCGTGCACATCCCTCCCCCTCCTGTTCCTCCACCACTTCCCTCCCCCATCCCCGTTTTATTCCCCGAACTGTCCACTTGGGACATTCTGTTCAAAGTGTGTTCGATCACCTTCCCATCGTAGCAAGTGTTGGCGCTGCATCTCACACGTAGACTCCTCTTGGGATCATGTCTCCCACCGCGCCCCACTTTCGCTAGGAGTTGGGCGCCAGGGACCATGTTAGATTCCACATGAGGAAAATCTTGGACGCGTCCTCCCGGGCACCACATGATTCTGGCCCAATTGGGATCCTCTTGGGGCTGTCAGAGGTCCTGGAAGTCTTTGGCGCCGTGCTCCGCCGTGTGAGCCCGTTTTTTTTCAACAGCTACATAGCCAACTAGCGATCTCAGAACACAAGAAACTACGAAACGCCAAATGAAAACCCCTCACCGGGTGCCCACCTGCCATGGTTTGCACCAGGCAGCGTCTTGGACAAGACCACAGGAAGAAGTGCAAGCATGCCGCCAGTGGCGTCACCGGCGACCGCTCGCTGCTGGAATCCATCCCCCGCCCGTCCCCCCGTCACTGCGACAACCCATGCCCCCACCACAGGCTGCCAGAAGCCCGCCGAAAGTCCACCGACACCGGCCTGCCGGGGGTGAAACGGCGCGTGGACCATTTCGCTGTCCCCCTCCCCGTTTCCCCCTCCCCGGGAGCCCAAAATCGCATTAAAAGCGGAAAGGCGGAATGGTCCGGGCTCCCCGCGCCCCCCCTGTGGCCCCGGGAGCCTCCAAAAGAGCCCCGCCAGGGCCCCAACATGCTCCATCAGAGCCCCGAGTGGCCGAAAGATCGCTCCAAGATGCTCCCAGACGCCCAAGACCTCCACCAGACGGGCCAAGAGGCCTCCCAGACGCCCCAAGAGGCCTCCAAGTGGCCTCCCAAGAGCACCCCGAGAGACTAAAGTCATTGATTTTCCATTGTGTTTTTGTATATGTTTTTGCCTTCTCGCCTTTTCGGCTTCCTTACGCTCCAAGACGGCCCAAGAGGCCCGCAAGATCCCCCAAGACGGCCCAAGAGGCCCCCAAGACAGCCCCCAAGACGGCCCAAGAGAGCCCCACGACGACCCAAGAGGCCCCCAAGACAACCCAAGAGGGCCCCAAGACGGCCCCAAGAGCGGCCCAAGAGGGCGACGAAAAAATCCCAAATCTAGCTTTCCCCGACAGAGAGCCCCAGGAGGACCCAAGAGAGCCCCAAGAGGTCCCAGGAGGCCCCCAAGAGGTTCCAAGGAGGCTCGAAGAAGCACCCAACAGGCCCCCAAAGTACCCAAGAGGCACCAAAGCGCCCCTCAAGAGCCCTTCATCTGCATTAGACACCTTCCAAGAACTCGAAGCTCGCATTCCTTGGGGGGGTCGGCGGCATGGAGTAAGGCACTTGAGTAACCACAGAACGCGATAATGGAAAGTTGCAACAGTGAAACTTAGACGCGAAGATTGGCCAGACCAGCGGAAGACTGTACGCTACGCAACGTCGAATGGTGAAAGGACGCGGGATATCGGATAACCACGTGAAACAGCATATGTACACATCACAGGGAGATTGCAGTACCCCCAAACAGGAATCTTTAAGGCCAAGGTGGATCCTGAGTTTGTCTGGTCGCCCCCCGCTTATCATCCTATTGCTCTGCATCGGCCTGCCCCGTCATCGTCGTCTATCCTCCCTCGCGCCTCCTCCGCCTGCCCTCGCACTCGAACTCCTTCTCCCCCTCTCGTTACGTTCCTCCTCATCCTCCGATGGTCTTCACCTTCCTGGTGCTCTGCCTCCTCGTCGTCCTCGTCCTCCCCGTTATCCTCTACATCTTCCTATGCATGATCATCCAAGATAATATGAGCCTCACCCACCTAGTTATCTCCCTCTTCCGCCTCATCGGCATCGTCGTCGGCGTCCTGTGCGTCCTCCACAGCCTGTACCTCTTCACCTTTTTCACCCAATACTCCTTTTCACCGGCGTCCTCCTCCTCCTCCTCCTGCTCGTCCTCTCGTTTTTCGTCCACCTAGTCGTCCTCTCCCTGCTCTTTTTCCTCCTTCGACTCCTCCCTGTTGTACCAGACAACGACGACCGACGACGACGAGGACGACGACGACGGCTGCCCACGAAGCCTGGGCAGACATCCACGGACCTCCCACACCCAAGACCTCTTGGGACCTCTGCCCCCGGACGGCCTCTTGTGACCTCT